ACCACAGGTGCCCGCCACAACACCCAGCTATTTTTTGGTTGCAGCTGTCATTATTGTTTGGCGGGCCCGGGCTGGATTCGAACTCGCCGCCTTAGGTGTATGTGGCTTGGGCCTTAGCTGCTTGAGCCACAGGAGCCGAGCCTTATTATTTTATGTAGACAGAATCTTACTGTGTTGCCTCAGGATAGAGTGCCATGGTATCTTCCTAGCTCACAACAATCTTGAACGCCTGCATTCAGGGCATCCTCCCCCCTCAGCCTTCTGAGTAGTGGGGACTACAAGTACCTGCCACAACACCCAGATAACTTGTTTATTTTTAGTAGGGTCAGGATCTGACTCTTTGCTTAGGCTGGTCTTTAACTCTTGAGTTCAAGCAATCCTCCCCGATGAGCCTACCAGAGTGCTAGGATTCCAGGCATGAACCACTGTGCCAGGCTCCACTGCAGGGTTTTAAACAGAGACTTGACTTAATTTACTTTCTAACTCAACAAACACTTATTTAATGAGTGTCTACCACATGCCAGGGATATACAAGATAAGATCCTTGCCCTAGGATATGTATATTCTGGTGCAGGAGACAAGCCCCAAACAAAATAAACCTTGCTGTAAGTGCTAGAAAAGAAATACAGACCTTCACTTCTGAGACAGTGAGTTCAGTTAGGCTGAGATGTCAAGCTCGGGTAGGATGTGATCTGTAGAGCCAGAGAGAAATTCTAAGAAGTAGGCAGGAACTTGATATATGGTAGGTGAATGTCCTAAGGCCAATGTGACTAGAACATGGTTGAAGGCACCAGTCTATTAGCGAGCATGGGCCTGCTCAAGCCATGGTGGGTTGCAGAAAGCCACTAGAGTGTTTTAAATAGGAGAAAAACAAGATCTGCCTTGATGTGATTGTGCTACATGGAGGATGAACTACAGAAAGATTCAAGCAGAAGCAGGGAAAACTGAGTATACTTCTCTGGCAGCCCAGGCAAAAGATCATGGTGGAATAGAAAAGGGTGGTATCAGGTGTTGACAGAGAACTGAAGACAGATTATTTTGGAGGTGGAAGTGAAGGGACTTACTGATAGATTGGGGAAGAGGAGTAGTAAACAAGGAAAATCAAAGATTATTCTCAGAGGTCTGGCTTTGGTAACTATGTGGATAGAAGTACCACTTAGTGAAATGGGGAAAATCAGGTTTGGAATGATGAGAAAACCAAAATTCCCCTTTGGTTATGCTAGTTTTGGAGTGCCTAAGAGATGTACAAATGGAGATAATTAAACATTTTGACTCAAGATTCTCAAACACAGAGGAGAGCGGCTGAGCTAGAGATTTAAAGTTGGGAGTTATTGGGTGGTGCCTGTGGCTCAAAGGAGTAGGGTGCTGGCCCCATATACCGAGGGGAGGGGGTTCAGGCCCCACCCTGGCCAAAACCTGCAATAAATAAATAAATAAATAAATAAAATAAAATAAAGTTGGGAGTTATCAACTTTCAAATGGCAATTAAAGCCACAGGTCTGGGTCACCTAAAGAAAGCACATAGAGGATTTAGAATGATAGAGGATTTAGAATGAAACCCTGAGAGAAATCCAATATTTATTACATGTTAAGTAGAGAACAAATGTGGCTAAGAAGAGAATGAGAAGGAATAGCCAGAGAAATGGAGAAAATCTGGGGTTGAGTGTCAATAAGCTAAGATAGGAAGAGTTTAAAGAAAGGAGTAACTCTATTGAATATTCCATAGACTGAAGAAGACAAAAACAAAGTATCTATTGGATTTAGCTACACAGAAGACACTGGCAACCTTGATAAGACCAATTTATTTTTTTGAGACTCAGTCTCATTTTTTTGCCCCAGGCTAGACCTGGGGCAACCTCAAACTCCTGGGCTCAAGCAATCCTCTTGCCCAGCCTCCCAAATAGTTGGGACTATAGGAGCCTGCCACAATGCCCAGGACAAGAGCAATTTCAGGCTGGGCACAGTTGTTCATGCCTATAATCCTAGTACTCTAGGAGGCTGATGCAGGTGGACTGATTGAGCTCAGGAGTTTGAGACCAGCTTGAGCAAGGGCAAGACTGCCATCTCTGCTAAAAATAGAAAAAAACTAGCCAGGTGTTGTGGTGGGTATCTGCAGTCCTCAGCTACACAGGAGGCTGAGGCAAGAAGATTGCTTGAGTTCAAGAGTCTGAGGTTGCTGTGAGCTATGATGACACCAAGGCACCTTACCCATAGTAACAGAGTGAGATTCTATCTCAAAAAAAAAAAAAAAAAAAAGCTCAATTTTGGCCCAGCACAGTGGCTCACTCCTGTAATCCTAGAACTCTGGGAGGTCAAGGCAGGTAGACTGCTCGAGCTCAGAAGTTCAAGACTGGCCTGAGCCAGAGTGAGACCTCATCTCTAAAAAAATAGCTGGGTGTTGAGGCGGGTATCTGCAGTCTCAGCTACCGTAGAGGCTAAGGCAAGAGGATCGCTTAAGCCCAAAAGTTCGAGTTTGCTGTGAGCTATGTGATGCCATGCCACTCTACCCAGGGCTGCAAAGTGAAACTCTGCCTCAAAACAAAAACAAAAACAAAACCCCCCCAAAAAAAGCAGTTTCAGTGAAGTGGTCAGAATTGAAGCCAGATTGGTACAGACTGAAGAATCGATAAGGTTAAAACTGCTGAATTGCCACAGGAAGAAATTTGGCTATGATGGAAAATTCATTTTATTTTTGGAGACAGAATTTCCTTGTCACCATAGGTAGAGTGCCATGGCATCATAGCTCACAGCAACCTCAAACTCCTGGGCTCCAGCAACTTACTTGCTTAGCCTCCTCAGTAGCTGAGACTATAGGTGCCTGCTACAATGCCTGGCTATTTTTTAGAGATGGGGTCTCGCTTTTGCTCAGGCTGGTCTCAAACTCTTGAGCTCAAGCAATCCACCTGGCTCAACCTCCCAGAGTGCTAGGATTACAGTATGCTGGGAAATTTTAAAAAATTAGTAGGGTAGTTGGAGTGAGACCTGAAGGATACCAGAAAATAATTTGCATGATGACAGAAACAGAGTCTTACGGAAAGATAGGATTTGGTGACTGTGTTGGGAGCTAAGGGAGAGGAACAAAGTTAAGGATCTTATGCAGGATTGCTGGTAGTGCAACAATATGGAAAGAGCTGGAATTTGGCATTGAGACCAAGAACACAAATGAAGGGCAAATTTGCTTCCAAAGATCACATCTCCACCACACTAGGTAGGCTTTCTTGTGATGGAGGCCTTAGGATGGAGAAACGTAAATTGTGACTACGCCTCTTCAGACTGCATCATTTCCTGATGTACTTAATCTCTTGATGAGATTAAAACTTCTTAGAAAGTAACAAGACTATACTAATCTACTCCAGTAGCCACACAAACCAACTGAATGAAAATGGACTTGTACGGGGAAGGGAAAGAAGTTGTGGAAAATGGCTCTAAATTCACGGCTGATCACTTTTGGAATCAAAACACTGAAGACTTAAAAACTGGTAACTTTCAGATGAACAGTGGAACTAAGGTTTTTCCAAATAAGGTAATCAGATTTAATATTGTTTACATTACATTCTTTATATTCATTAACAGTAGTACAGCTTAATATTGCCTTGCTACTTCTGATATTACAGTTAATTCTCACGGAAGTATTTTTGGAGAGCTTAGGTCCTCTACTAAAGAGTTCTTGCCAAAACTCACTTACATGAACTGCTCCAGCTGGTTCAAGGGAGTGCCTGGAAGGAAAGGCAGAAACTGGAAGAAGATGAAGTTCTGACTTAACAACCAACTCATGGTTGATGTTCATGGTAGGCATTTGGCAAATGTTTGAGGAACTGAATCTACAGAGAACGGACGGGCTGCAGGTACTTCAAGACTTTCAATCTTTACAAAGGGATGAAAGATGCAGTCATCTACAAAAAGTTCTAATTGTATTAGCCAACAATATGGAAAGAGCTGGAATTTGGCATCACTCCCTAGCCTGATGGCCGAGCTGCTGAAAGCTCCGTGGGATTCACATCCCCAGAACAAATAACTTGATCACCTGATCCTGGCTCAGAAACCCCAGGTCCCCTCCACCCCAATCCTTTCGCGTGGCCCAGTTTTCAGAAGCTGCGGAAAGAAGGGGGGGGGGAATCTCAGGGAAGCCTGTTGATTCAACAGGCCACTCAATTCGCAGGTTCCGGATGCTGCAGGCTTAGGAAAAGCCTTGAGACTCTAAGCAACTACCCCGCTTTCCTCCCTCCTCTCTCCCCATAGAGCAGGGAAGGCCAGGGCCCCCCTTCTTCCCGCATACAGCTCTCCAGTGCCTCTTCCCTTACAGGACCAGGCCCTAGAAGCCCGGTCCCTCACCTGACCCATGCGAGAAACACGCTCTCCAGTCCGAACTTCACCTGCCTGAAGCCGGTCGCTACTCCGGTGCGCAAAGACCCCACCGAGGAAAATGGAGTCGTCGAACCGAGACTGGGAAAGGATAGTACGGACCCACCGCACGGCCCCTCCACCGCCACCGCCGCCGCTGCTGCGTCAACGTGCTGCGTCAGATCCGGCTCCCTGTCACTGGGAGTGGGTGGGCCATTTCTTGTTGTTTTCTACTATCTCCGGGGTTTCGTCCGGGCGTGTGAAAGCCGGCAGCAGCGGTCCAGGAAGGCAGCTGTTACAGATCCCACCTGAGCACAGCTAAGGGGCCGTAAGGAATCAGATCCAGCGGGGACCTTCAGGCCGCTCTAGCCAAAGGAAACCATAAAGAGCAGATTAAGGCGTCTTCATTTCCTCCTCTCCGTGGCTCTGCCTCCAGCTTCCGGTTCCGGGGAGGGGCCGAGTTTTCTTCGAAGACTGGGGGCTCTGTGATCCGGTTAGAATGGCTGTGTTACCGCTGCTGTTCTTCGGGGGCCTGTGGGGCGCTGTGGGCGCGTCCAATCTGGCCGTCGTTACTTGCGGCTCTGTGGTGAAGCTTCTCAATACGCGCCACAACGTCCGACTGCACTCCCACGATGTGCGCTATGGTTCAGGTACTGCGCGGGACCGGGCTCGGGTAGGCTGAGAAGGCCTGGTAGGCTCTGGAGGGGGCGGGGCCAACAGAAATCTGAGGGTGTGGTCTGGGGAGGGTAGGGGTGCTCTGGGGAGGTTCCGGAGATCTGTAGGTACAGAGTCGGAGACCCGAGTTGTTCTAAGGCATCTTAATCGTAATACCAGCTAATATTTGGTGAGCTACCGGCCAGGCACGTTACAAATGTACTAATACTTTCCCCCAAATTTTAAACATTCCTGTCAGGTAGATGATGTCCTCATTTCGTAGACGAGGAAACAGATTGCTCGCTTGCTCAAATCAGGTCGCTTTGCAGCTAGTGAATTACAGAGACAAGGTTCTATCCAAATCTGTCCAGGTTCAAGCCTGCTTTCAGTTGTTTTGGGATAGCACAGCTAAGTATGGGAGAGAGGAGAGACAGACCTGTAGAAAATTATAATAAGTGCTCTCTCTCTGAAGTTTTAAACTCGAAGAGCTTACTCTTTGACCACAACCTTCTGTCGTCTAGCTGTTTTGCATCCAAAGCTTGCTCTTCAGTTCCTATTATTTGGCCCCCTTTTATTCAGACCTTAATCACCTCCTTCTAAAGACTTCAAAGTGGTGACAGGAATTGCAGAGGAAACTACTTTTTACCGTGTGAAACTAAAATGCTTAATAATCAGTTATTTGTGGGTTCATTCATTAAGCTTCGGTTTGTTATGTGCCTGGTATTGTTCTCTGTACAGAAGATGGAGTAGTGAATCAAGTAAGTTGGAAGACAGTAAAAACAGGTGAAAAGAAAAATTCAGCTAAATGAGTTGTTAGAGCATCTAAGGTAACTAACTTTTCCCTTGGGTGACTGATGATATTATTTACTGAGGGAGGAATGAGTTCTCTTGGTTCTTGATTTCCAAAAACCTGATCAGTTAGATTAGAAAAGGAACTGAATTATAAAATGCTTTAAATAAAAAGAAAAGAAACTGAATTATCATTGGGATGTCTTAAATATCCTAGCAGCCCTTCAGTGAACAGCTGCTATGTGTCAGGCTTATTACTTTCTTTCTAAGTTGATCTTGTTTGCTGTTGTGGATCTACTGAATTAGAATGGAGGCATACCCATAATAATTAAAAATTAAAAGGAAAAGAATGGAGGTGGAGAGAGACCTGAAGTAGGAATGGGTAGGTTTAAAAAGTTCTTAGCTGGGAGGGCAACAAGGTGAGACTCTGTCTCTGGGAAAAAAAAAAAAAAGCTCTTAGCTGGGCTTTGTGGTCAGTGCCTGTAGTCCCAGCTTCTTGAGAGGCTAAGGCAAGAGGATCACTTGAGCCCAAGAGTTTGAAGTTGCTAAGAGGTATGATGCCATGGCACTGCACTAAGGGCAACTAAGTGAGACTGTTTCAAAAATAAATAAATAGCTCTTGGGCAGCGCCTGTGGCTCAAGGAGTAGGGTGCTGGCCCCATATACCAGAGGTGGTGGGTTCAAACCCAGCCCCGGCCAAAAACTGCAACAACAATAAATAAATAAATACCTCTTCAGGCGGTTCTGTTGGGCAGCCAATTTTAGGAACCAGTTTCAATTTGGAGTTCAAAAGAGAGAATTGTGCTGAGCGTGTGATGCGCAGTTAAATATAACATTGTATAGATGATGATTGCGGATGTGATGGTAATAGATGAAATTGCCCAGGATGAAATGTGCTGTCAGTTTCTTTGTTCTCAATCTGCTGTCAGTTTTAATCATTTGGGAAACTTGTTAAAAATATACATGCTTTGAGGCTGGGCGTGGTGGCTCATGCAGCACTGTGGGAGGCTGAGGCGGGTGGATTGCCTGAGCTCACAAGTTTTAGACTAGCCTGAACCAGAGTGAGACCCCATCTTTAAAAATAGTTGGGTGTTGTAATGGGCACCTGTCCCAGCTACTTGGGAGGCTGAGACAAGAGAATCACTTAAACCCAGAGTTTGAGGTTGCTGTGAGCTAAGATGCCATGGCACTCTACCTAGGTGACAAAGTGAGACTGTCTCCAAAAAAAAAAAAAATGCTTTTGTCCTGATCCTCAATAATAGTTTAACTACTGATAGAAACAGATAAGGGCCAGGCCTAGAACTCTGGGTAATCCCAAGATAAAATGACTAGGGGGAGGTGGTAGAAGGTTGAATCTAAAGCGAAAAAGTAGGAGATGATCCTTTATAGTTCACAAGCGTGATGTTTGGGGTTTCATGCGCATGCGTGAGATGTGCCTCCCACAAATCTTGTTACAACGTGGGCACACTACCCATCTGACATGAACTTGGAAAAAAATAAAAAAGAAAAAAAAAGTAGGAGATGAAAAGTAGATCACGGTTTAGTGAAGCATGGCTTTGAGGAATGAGAGAGCTGTAAGGCAGTAACCACAAGTAGCATGAAGGGAGAGTTGGTTAGCCTTTTATTGTTTTTCCTTTTTTTTTTTTTAAAAGATGTAACAAAAGTCGTTAGCTGAGTGGAAGAAGCCAATAGAGAGGAGCTGATGATTTTCTACATTCATCTAGATAACTGGCACAAGGCGTAATGTGTTACATGGTAAAAGGGAAGTATCATCAAACTACTGTGGTCAGGCAAGGCAATGGAAGGCAAAGCTAGGAAGAGTAGGTGAGACTATTTGGGAAAGTATCTGGGAAATCTGAGGTGCCTTCAAAGAATTGGGTAGTTAATGAGGCGTACGGAAGAGACTATCCCTAGAGTTTATGAGAGAGTAGCCTGTTTGGGGAAACTGGACAGGATTAAAGCTGGGTAAATAAAGATCTCTTTAGTGGGATATGAAGTGGTAGAGTGGGAAAGAGTGCTAGTTCTGGAGTCAGGCTCCATAGGTTCAACCCCAGCCTCTTTTATAAAGCCATGTGACTTTGGGCATGCTATTCAGCCTTTCCAGCACTCCACTGTAAAATGTGGATAATAACAACAATATATACCTCAGAGAATAGATGTATGTGTCAAATAAGAATATTCAAACAGACTGGCTGGGTGTGGTGGCTTATGCCTGGAAATCTAGCACTCTGGGAGGCTGAGGCAGATGGATTACTTGAGCTCAGGAGTTTGAGACCAGCCGGAGCAAGAGGAGAACCTGTCTCTGCTAAAAATAGAAAAAAACTAGCTGGATGTTGTGGTGGGCACTTGTAGTCTTAGCTACTCAGGAGGCTGAGGCAAGAAGATCACTTAAGCTTAGGTTAGGAATTTGAGGTTGCTGTGAACTAGGCTGATTGTCTCAACATTCTACCGAGGGCAACAGAGTGAGACTGTCTCAAAAGAAAAAAGAATATTCAAGCAAAAGACTTTAGGTCAGTGCCTAATACCTAGCTATGACTGATTATTTGTATATCTTTATTTTTATTTAAGCCCATAGCTACATATTTATTTAATGTGTATCAGTACTTTATAATCTGAAAGATTGTACCATTGAAGGCAAGATTAACCAAATTTAGGTCATCTAGGAATACTTTTATTTTATTTTATTTTATTTATTT